TCCAGCCCCGCTCGGATCCGCTCCAGCCCCGCTCGGATCCGCTCCAGCCCGCCGGGAGCGGGGCCAGCGCCGATGGATGTGTCCCGTCCCCGTGTACATACGGCCCTGCCGCAGCCCAGAGCTTTGGTTTGTCATAGCCAGCGACTCCCAGCTCATTTACGAAGCCTTATTTCCCCCTTCTTAATTAGTCACCACTGAGGAAACGATAATTTACGTGATACCGCAACTAAAATGGCCGAAGCTTATCCAAAAGCCAATTTATTTCAGGTACTTGAAGAAGTTATAACATGTAACCACGTTTTTCTTTCCCTTCGTTTAATTGTTTAATTACATGAACATAATTAAAGTGTATTAACTTGCTTTATCAGACACTGTAAGGGCACTTCTGCTATGGTCTGTTACCGGTGCTGTGAGGAACCGTTTGTTTGTCTGCACAAAGTGTCACTTTGTAGCCGTGCTGGAGGAAGTTTCTCTGTATTTCTGTACATATTTATCCATGATAGTGCATAGAACGTGTGGTACAGTTCTATTCTTTTATTGTCAGGACTATTAAAGTTTGCTTTTGGTTCCTAAGAAGTTGGTTCTGCAGGGAAAATTTATTTATTATCTAGGCAAAGGTTTCTCCTCTGGGTTTTTTTACGTGTTTGGTTTGATTTGGGATTTCAGAGTTGGTGTTTTGAGGGTCATTTATCCACTGACAGAGCCAGAGTGTGGTGCCACCAAGAGCTTTGAGCATCTCAAGCATCCCAAGGGGCTTTTACTGCTGGTAAGAGCGGTTCATTTGAAGTTCTAAAACCCACAAATCAGTCACACAAACCCTCTGTTCATCGAACAAAATGATTTTTATTGAATGAACAGGATTTACAAGAAATGTACTTTTTTTGTCTGCAGTGTTTATTGCACTGAAAAGAACCTATAAATAACGTATCAGGAAAATTAATGAACCAAATGAAATTACTGGAGAGGGTAACTGCACAATTAAAGATTTTCCCCAAGTGAGGAGCTTTAAGACAAAAGCTCATTAAAAAAAAAACCAAAACCAAACAAAAAAACCAGTAATTGCTGTTACATCCCTGATTTTCCCCCTGGGGTGGCACAGTGGGTCAGACAATGCTGCTGCCTTTCCACTGCAGCGGGTCAGGTTTTGGGAAATGCAGGATCAAAACCACTCTGCTTAGGGATCTTGGTCTTTAGGAAGGTACAAGTGTTCCCCCTCTGAGTAATCTGTGTGAAAACGAGGAGTAAATCTGGAGTGCTAATGAGCTAAAGTAAAAAATAAGGCAACTCGGGCTCCGAGGGGTGAAATCGGCTCCTGGTGTGACTGAGCAGGCCCGGGGCTGGTTCTGTACATTAAAGCTGTAAACAAAGAGCAGAGCTCTCTCAGGAGAGGAATCCCAAATCCCCAGGGAAACGCCCTCGACAGGCATCTGCATTTGGACAACGTTTGGAAGCCAGGACGTGACAGTTGCATCTATTGCCCTTAAAAAATACACAGCCAGCTTTTAATACTGCAGCTGACCGTGGGGAAGAGATCGGGGCTCGGGGGACCCATGCTGGTTTCTCAGGATAACAAACTACTCCCGGCAACAACAACAACAAAAAAAGATTAACGAACAATTCCCACTTTTTATAAACAACACATAATACATGTAGAAAAATATTCAAGAGGATAATAACAAAGGTGCAACGTCAACAAAAATAAGCTGCCTTTTCACCAAAAGCACTTTTCTTTCAGAGTTTGTGTGTGTGAGGGGGCCGGCTCAGTAGTTGTGCTGCGCGTACCACTGCTGCCGCTGCTGCCGCTGCTCCAGCTCCGAGAGCAGCGCCTGCCGGAACGCCTCGTAGAGCTTCACGATGCGCTCCAGCTCCTTCATGAACAGCAGCTTCAGCATGCCCTGGTACGTGTCCAGGTCGGCCAGCTGGAACAGCTCCCACTTCAGGATGTGGTCGTACCTGGGGGGAGGTCAAGGATCACACACGGGCACCTCCAGGAGGCTCTGCGGCAGATTGGATTGAGCCCAAAAGGTGGGAGTTGTTGTTTGGGAATGCGCTGGAGAATGGCGCAGTCCTTCCCAACACAGCACAGAACTCCAGGAAGAAAGGAGATGCACTTCAGTGACCAGAATAAACCAGCACAGGGAAACACAGCTGGGAGAGCTGGGAATGTTCCCCTGGAG